GGTGGCGTGCAAAGGTAAGGCATCCTTAACACAAGGAATTGGCAGGGGCTTTATTGGAGAGCAAAATATGAGTTAGGCGGCGTAATAGGTACTTTCTATGGTCTTGAGCAGGCGCCTCTTGATAGTGTTTAAGACGTTATCGCCCTTAAAGGGCAATGATACAAATACTGGCTTCTTAGGAGCTAAATGTTCGCTCATTTTCAGTCGTAGCAAACCTCTATAAAAACGCGTGAGGCAAGACAGGGGAGATCATCCCCGGCTTCATCGGTATACTAAAAGTAGCAACGAGGAAGGGACCGTAGAGATCACGAAATCATCACCAAAATGCCGGAGGTGCGACCATGACACGCCCTTGTTGACTGCCAAGTCTGTCGACAAGGTGACGAAAATGGGAGAAACCGCTATAACCGGCAACAGTCCGTTGCTGATCTACATGGGAGAAATGAATGCACCTGCGAGAATTTGGTCTGCTAGAAATTCATAAGTAAATGTTACTCACAAATAGAAAGTAATACTATGAGAATATGCGTTTTTTCTTGTGGGGGATGCAAGTCTAGAAGAATAAAACAGAGGGAGGTAAAACTCAGCTATTGGTTGGACTCATAGGAAGGTACAGAAATTGAGTGCTGGGGGAAGTAGAGTTAGAGTTAAAGGTAGTTCGAGTCAAAAGACCCACCAATATCTATTCTGAAGACCAATAAACTAGACAACAATGGTTTTTCAAATGGAAGGTTACTCCAAATCAAACTGCAGCTATAAACAAAGAAGATATAGTTCAGATGTACAGCAAGAGGACGGTACACTTGTCATAAGGACGAGTCACTGACGGCAAGGGAAAACCGGATCAGTAACAAGTGCAAAGATAAGAAGCAAGAGACACTCGCAAGCCCACAATTTACAGCAAATTGCCTGGCATCCCTCGACATCGAAAGTAAGCGGTGGAACTTGGAAGAAGAGCTTTTAGGTTACATACACCCTTAATAACCCCCGAGAAAATTTGTATACTTGGCAAGAAAAAAGTCGGAATCGGGTTGAACGGATGAAGGTGATTGGGACTCACAGATGAGTCAAATGCTCCTATAGGTAACAGAGTTTTGGGATTTTTAAAGCTCCCCCCTCCCCGAATTAGTGCCCCAGTCCGCAGTCAGTCCTTGTGGACTCATATTTTTTTGGCCTGCTTACAAAGATACTATGAATGTATGAGTTGAAATCCACCAACTTAAGCAAATAACGTCAAAGTTGCACAAGATGCCAACAGAGAGTCATCAGTATACGCATGTTGCATCCTGACAGCGCAGGTAAGGCGTGGTGGCGCGGTGGTTAGAACGTCCGACTTCTAAATAACAAGGTCGCCAGGTTTGAGCCTGTGGCACTTACTTGTACTTGATACGGCTATGATCATGCTTGGTATAGCCGGCGGCAATGATGTCCCGGACGGTACCTCTCTATGCGTGACGATTGGTGGCAGTGGATCTGGAAAGCTCCACTCCTTCTCTTCCCCAGCGACGGAGACCGATAATCTAAGGCCCAAGAACAGCTTCTATGTCTTGACGAACGGTGTCGAGCCAAGTCTTCAGTTGCCCTCCTCTTCGACGCCTCCAGGTGTGCCGCGACGGCAAATCGAGGGTAGCGTAGCAAAATTTGTGAGGTGGACGACGGCGAATGTGTCAAAACCACCAGGCCGAATAGTGAACGGTTCTGAAAGGTTCTTATGGACAAGATCCAGTGCAATGGTGGAGCAGTAGTATGTATTGATCATGGCAATTATTTTTGGTGGTACACGATCTGGTGCCATTATCAGCCACAGGGATTCACGATGGACGGAATCGAACGCAACATCGAAGTTATCAAAGCAAATTGTCGCTGGTTGTTGGTATCGATGGCTGAAGGATCCGTCTCAGTGTGAATATCTGATCCGCAAATCCATGACCAGCGCGGAACCCGGCTTGGGTAAGCCGCATCCTAGAGTCACACACAGAATGGATCGTCTACGAACCACAATAGCGAAAATCTTAGCATCAACGTCGATAAGACTTATACCGCGGTATTTCTCATATCTTGTCTTATCTCCCTCCTTGTGACCAGGTACAAGGATGCCTGAGCCCCAGTCATCAGGAACGGCATCGTCTCACCACGCTTGTTCAATTTACCTCATGGAACCAAGTGGCCAGAGTATTGATACAAGACTTGTAGATTTCAGCGGGACTACCTTCCTTTCCGGACGCCTTGTTGCTGTGCAGTCTCTGCATTGCATCGCCAACTTCATCTTCGGAAGGGAGGTCGCACGACACTGCATAGGCTGGAGCAGGTTGATACTCAGCTGCGAAGGAGAGGAAGAGTGTGATGGGTTGCTTATCAAAGTTGAGGAGGTGCCCGAAGTGTTCATACCAGCGATAGACCTTGGCCGAGTTGTCAGCAATAAGGCCGTCATTCACATCGCGAACAGAGGGCGATGTCGAGGGCTTATCACTAACTTGGCGGATAATTTGATACAATTTTCGAATGTCCCCAACATTTGAAGCCTGCTCTATAGAAGTCGCCGTTTCGGACCAACACTTCTGCCGGTCATCCCTAGCCAACTTTGCTATCAGCTTTCGGAGTTGGCGGAAGGAAGTGTCAGTGCAGGACCTGACGTGAGCCGCCTAGGCAGACAGCTATAGGGTTCTTCCGCTAATCCCGTCACTGCCGCGCCGCTGAGTGAATCCAAGAATTTTCTCCGCCGCCACATAGACGAGTGCCTTTAGTGATGACCATTTGATACTGCCTTAGCCGTCGGTCTAGGTCATAAGACCGGACCGGATTTCTGTGATTAGAGCCTCGGTAGTACTGGGTTGCCGGAGTTTTGCGACATCAAGGCGTTTCGTACGTGGCATTTTGGGCACCGAGGAGTGATGAACTTTCAGGCGTGTGCGAACGAGAACATGGTTAAACCCGTGGGCATTACGAGTTTTGGCACCTCGCATCGACCTGCTATCGTGGGCCCAACTATGAAACTTTGAAGCAAATAGAATCTACTTGATTTGACTATCGGTACGGCCATCGTTTGAATACCGGGTGAGTGTTGGTGACGGGTTGGGTACGGCTGGCTGATGGCGGCTAACAAGTCAGAAATGGCCATTCCAGTGTCCCTCGTTATTGTCGGTAATGTATTTTTGCCTATATGTATGGATTACATGATACACCGTGTTGACAGCATAGGTAATAGTTAAAAGCCAGGACGGGTGTTTCGTCAATATCTTGATGTGGTATGACAGAGCTGCATGGTGTTTGGCTCACCAGTGATTTCGTCAGCATTACCCTGTGCCTTTCCGGCCCTTGGGCAACGCCTTAAGAGGTTTATCCCGAAGAATAGACTCTAGATGGTCCTTTTTCTTGAAAAAAAAAGAACTTGTTTCTAACTGACCATATCAAAAAAGCCTAAAACGTAAAAATAAACTCAACAGTACCCTAGATGCAGACAAGCCCTTTTGCTTATAACTGCCCTCGACTACATTTTTACATCATCGAATGGCTTTCTACTGGAGGTACTGGAGGGGCAAGAATTGACCCAAGAAAATTATTTTTCTATAAGAGGGTAATTCGGGCATAGAACACCCTTCCTGTGGACATTGTTATGTCCCTATCCGTGGACACCTTTAAGACAAAGCTTGACCAGCACTGCCTTACGTACCATCATGGCGACTGAGTTCTTCGAAATCAAACACTGAACAGTCATAGATGCTATTAATAGGTGCTAATAGTAATTTTTGTGTAATATTACTATTATTTGATCAAAATATGTTTTAAACCGTACTTAGCTTATCCGACTTCTCTTCTCACTATGCGAACTGCACCGATCGCGTCTGCAGTCGCATCTACCGCATCTATGGTCCTAGGCTACGCGGCATTGTCAGGCTCTTTCTCGTATCGACCTAAAAACCGACTGCTGACGACGTAGCGGGTTCCTCTGCTCTTGTCACAGCAAT